CTTTTTTTTATGGGGTCATATGAAAGATCCTGTTTACGACACTTCAGTTGAAACAGCTAGAGGAAGTTAGTAGGAAGGATTGTTGCAGCAGCTGCTGAAATTCTCGAAACACCATGAATTTTTCAACGTGTTCAGGAGGCTATGCTACGGCGCTGTCACGCACGTATGGAGGTGGGTGGTCGTAGCTTAGAGCATCTTTTGTTGTGAATAATTGTTTTTAGTAAATACTGCAAGCATTCCTTGGGTTTTGCATCATTTAATAACACAGTTTCTTGTTCAAACACGTTTCTCCATGTGTAAGGCTACCACAGCGCGACCTGTAATGTTCTATTATCACATAACCAAAGCGCATGCGCCTATGTGTTTATAAGTAAAAAACGTTTATTTTGGCGCGATCTATCATCTCTTAATTTTTAGCACAATAGTTTCGGAACACCCTGTATAATCAACCTACTCCCACACTGACTGAGTAGCTGCGAGCACTTTGTTGCGCTGGCCGCATTCCTTAAGGGTGTCTTACTGTACTGCCTATTAGGGTTTATTTATTCAAATTTAGTTTTCAAACAGTTAATAAGGGTTAAATTTTTGCGCAACAAGCTGTAGCTCTTCAGGAATGTTGGAAATATGTAGCATGTCGTCGCCGAATCGCAGAGGATTTAGTTTTTTGCTGGGCACTTTTATGCCATGCCTAGAACAGGTTTAGTTTCTTGATTATATCTATATACTCTATTGCGAGTATGAAAATTATCGGTGATATATGATAACTCCTCTACTGAATAGATGAAGATTGGTGTTCTGATCGGTAGCTGTAATTGTCAACTGGCACTTCCGTATGTCAGCTCTTTGTATCCTAAGTCATTTCGTGAATTGTCTACTTATCTACGACCCATAGCTGAATGCTTTAGAATACCTTCTCATTGTCCACTAAAGCAGGATAGAAAGAAGGAAGGTATATTCGTTGGCTATTTACATTCCTCGAATACCTTACCTTCGATATTAACTATTTGAGCCTGATAATAGTCTGCAATCTTAATTGGAGGGACCATGTAAATAATTTAATAAATAAAGTAATGCCTATGATTAGTTGCATATACCGTATTAGGAATTTTGTTTGCAGGAAAACAAAGATGTGTATAATAATGTCTACTTTTTGTCGCATCTCAGGTACCTGTGTGGGGTACGTGTGGAGTGGTCGAGTTCAATAATGTAAAAATTTTACAAAACAAAATATTAAAAATTCTTTTACCTACGAGCGTGCGGTAAAGTGCACTTTACCGCACGTATTTGCAAACGGAAGGTATCACTTTACCGCATAGTGCGCGGTAAAGTTAACTTTACAGCATAGTATGCGGTAAAGTAGAATACAAAGTGTGCGGTAAAGTGCACTTTACCGCATAGTGTGCGGTAAAGTAGAATTTGATATTTATAATCAAAAATCCTCTCTTTTTCAGAAAATGGATGTTTGATCATTTCTAAATCTTATCTAATTTCATTAATTAATCGGATTCATTAATTAATTTTATCAATGCCTTTTTTTGGAGATGTAGATGCTCATAGGTAAAATTTTGTACCTAACACATGCGGAAAGTGCCTTTACCGCCCTTAACGGCTTGACTGAACTCCGCTTCGCGTCGTTCGGTCAACTGCCGTTGCGTGCGGTAAAGTATCACTTTCCGCATTTGTTAGGTAAATAACTATTAAATACAATAGACGCACACATACAGAATTTGTTTACTGGGAGCTAGGTGTGCCTGACATGCAAAAATTGCCTACTAAGGGTTGAGCAATGTAAACTGGTGTATAGGATACTTAATAAGAAACATAAGACCAATATAAACATCATGTTTGCAAATAATATACACGCGTATAGTACAAGAACATGTGATAACATATACTTAACAAATGTAAGAACGAACAAAGGGCTGTACAATCCCAGCATCAGAGATATATTATAATGAACTACCTGTACATATTAAAAATATCAATAATAAAGCTAGGTTTATTAAAGAGGTGTAAGTACATATTGGAGTTTAGGAAAGTTGGTGCATACACATACAGATGATTTATTGTTTATCCCTGCCAAAATTTAATACACTAGGCTCCTTGCATCAATTTTTTTTTATTGCTGATTTCGATAGTCCATGAAAAATAAGTCAACACAGTCAGTGTTTTTTCTTTTTCTTCTTAGTCAAAAATTGACAGAGATACAACACTATGAAATCTGCCCATGACGTCACTTATCTAATAAATTAGTGACGTTGCACATGCTCAGTATATCTATATATACAAAACTTAATATTTGAATAACTTCTGCAATAATCATATTTGGGCGAAATAAAAAAAAAAGTAACGATTTTTTTTCGATTTCCTACAGTTTGCAATAAACAATAATCAATTTAATTTTCCATGCAAGTACCCTATTTTGAATATTTTATTGTTTCTTGTTGTTGCAGTAGGTGTTTGGGCTTGTGTTAAGAAACTATCGTTGAGACCAGTGCACTAGGCACTGATTGAAGGATTCTTCATGTAGATAAAAAATTGTATGATATTAGGATGATAAATAAATAAAAAAAATATAAGAAACTCATTTGCCTGTTATTACTGTTTATAGTAGTCCGAGATCCGGCTGCAAATTTTTGGACCGATCGCGTAACCACTCGAAATTGCGAGAATATTGAAGTTTTGTCATAGACTTTTGAAAAATGCCATGGTGCCAGTGAAGTTTTGGCCGAAAGAGCAATAAAAAAAATTATTTATTGCTCAATTTTTCAACATTGCTTATTTTCGAGGGTAACCGAAAAATTCCTGTTCCGAAATATGCGCAGTAATTATGCGATGCGAGAAATGTATTGGTGCCACCTCCCATCTAGCCGCGTCGCCGCGGCACCAGCATGTGAAGAGGTAGCTTTTTTCAGCAAATCATCCCCATCACGTATCCACTTGATCGAGGTATCAAATGAAAGGTACTGATCTTCTTGATAAAAAAAGCGAATGGTGCCACTCCAAATCCGGCCGCAAGTACCTGGAACCAATGATTTTATGCGGGACGTTATCTCGATTATTTTCCAATTTTCAACCGAAACCTGCTGTATCAAAGTTGTAGAGAATTATGTTATTGGAACTATTCATCTAAAAAATTTGTAAAAATTGATAATTTCCAATAGATTTGGTGTAAAATAGGCCACAGGCAGGGGATTTCTGTGCAGTTTTTATACTTCTCCTTCATGTTTCTCTGAAAAAAAATGCTTTTTGGATATGATATATTTCCGTTCACCAGAAATCGACAATGTCGAAGAGCATGTGCATTCAAATGTATTTTATAATGAATTCAAAGACTCGAGTAGATATGTTCGTTTATTATGTTTTCACATGGCTAATTGTATAGTTACATTTATTACTTCTAATACTATAATAGGTATTAGGTACCTACATAATAATAGTACATTACCGCCCATTCAGAGTTAAATCAGCTTTTTTCCGAATGGGTGGTACCTACCTAATGTATTTTTCCTATTAAAAAATAAACAACTTTCGTCATATTTTACCTCAGTTGATGGAAGTAAAACAAAATAAAGTTATAAAATTATCACAAAAACGAGAAAATGAATTGATAGACAACAATATACTATTACGCGACGAGGGACAAAAAAGCGATTAGCAGTACCTTTTTTGGGGTTAGAGTCGCGTAAAAACATTAAACTTATAGCTGTTAGGCACACGAAATTAATCAATTATAGTTGAAAAGAACTTCCTACATAACTAGTCTTAATTAGAATCTGAGCTAGCGATACTTATCAATAATTAATTAAAACTTGAATCTAAATTCCTTATAACTACTCTGAATCAGAATCTGAACTCGCGAGTTCATTTTCTGATTCCTCTTTTTCTTCCTCACCATCAATCGTCATGTTAACTACAACGTCATTGACTGTGGCTGGCACTACATCACCAACGAACCAAAGTGGTTTTAGTTTGCCATCTTTCATGAGCCACCCATATTCCAAAGGGTCTAAAATTTCGCACTTATCCAAAGTTGCATTGCACCACATTGAGCTGACGTAAATTGCACGCTAAATTTTTTGTTTCAAGGATTTGAAACAGGGCGGGATCAAGGTAGAATCGAAGCTTTTAATTTTACGTATGAATTGCTCGGTTTCATATTTTGTAGAATATAGGTTCTGAAAAATTGAATATCTACACTCATTGACACTTCTGCAGTTTTTAACTGAATACATTGCCGACGTGAACTCTTGTAAGGACTCAATTAAAGCGATTTTATTGTTTTCTGGAGAATCACTTTCGTGATCGAAAATACTAGTTTGTTTACTAAGCAGTTGAAATGCAGTTTGAAAAATTTCATTTTTTTCGATAATTTTGAAAGGTCTCACTTTTCCTTTTCTGAAAAAAGAAGCCGTGTAATCGCACCCAGTAAAAGCGTGAAAGCCAGGCAGCGATTGACACAAACGAGTTCCCAATTTTTCAGCAAGAAAACTGCAGTTTACACAATCGACTTCGCTTTGTTTGGAAGTTACGCTTGACAGCCAGATCTCTGAGACTCTTAATTTGCTCAAATTGGCCAAAATCACAACTAAAATGTCAGTGTCCGATGCCTTTACCAATACTTTCGAATCAGGTGGTAACTTGCTGATGTGGTATATCATTCGTGTATCTGCCTCTTCATGAAAACATATAAAATCCTTCTCTTCCATTTTTTTCATCGAGCCGTTGGATGATTCGTATGAGAAACAACTTTCAGCTACCGTCAAGTAAATCTTTTTATTTCCAAAAAATGGTGCTAAAAAATTACTCTCCCAGTGTTTCGATAAAAAAAGGACGAGTGATTCCTTAAAATTTTGATTTGTCAAGCTTTTCATAAAGTCATTTGGTCTTTTTTGATGTGAGCCTTTGATGGTAAAGGAAATTTGATTTTCGCACCTTTGATCTCTCTCGCAGGGCCCAACGAGTTTTGGCTGACTCTGAATTCATAAAGTGAACAATACCAGTGAGCGTATTAGCTGCATCAGCATTAATCGTTTGCTCGGTTGTCAAATCGACATGGGTTCGTGAAAAATTTCCCTTGACCCTTTTGACGCCAAGAATTCCTCGTCTAAACTCGTGTAGTAGAGTAGGATTGCTGGATCGTACTTTCAGAAATTCAGAAACATTTTTCATAGACCATCTCGCGTAGTTTGGTTGATTGAGACAGAAGAAAAGATTGCTCATTTCAAACATAGAAGTGATGTACAATTCCACATTACTTGTTCTGATACTTCTTGAAAATCGGAAATAAGCATCGATGTGTTCCACATATTGTAAGTAGAACTGTGCAGTCTTCCCATGACCTCCATTCAACGTGACCGAACGATATTCTTCATACTTGTGAAGAATGATTTGCAAACTTGGAGACATATCAATGAAATCCAGTGGTTCAACGGGATTGGAAGCGGCATTTTTTAAATCCTCTGCCAAAGTCTCGACAGAAGTCGTATCGTTTTCCAAAAATTGAGAGAAATGAATTGTTTGAATGGCGGCCGACAATATGGGATAAAGACGTTTACACCTGTTGAAATGTTTACAGTCAATGAAAGAATTTACTGACCCTTGAGCTAAGATTTCCGCCTCTGTTAGAATGTCGACGATGCCGCAAGAATCGATTGGGGATTCATTGATTCGAATTTCATGAGCCATTCGAGCGATCGCCAAGTCGTATGAAACAACGATGTCTGATAGATTACACCTATCGGCGATTTGCGAAGCTTTTTCCAACGTTTCTCGTACTACTGCAAATGAAGTCGGGAAGGCATTGATTTGTGGCAAGTACTGGACAATTTGCATTTCTGAATTGTCTATAGTGGTTTGTTTCCCAAAACCTATCCACATCGGAACGTTTTCAATTTTTGTGAAACACATAGACCACAGCAAATCTTTTATCTTCGCATTGGATTTCGAAATTTCGCATTCGACTATACCTCACACATATCATCGAAAGGCAACAATTTGAAGTCTGTGATAGGCTTTCTGATATACGAAGATCGTTCATTGTGTGCAACTTCATCAAATTTTCGTCTTTTACGAGACGGTCCAGAATTGTCAGAACTTTTATCCATAGATTTTTCTTCCGACACTAACGAACCTTCTTCTGCTCGATTTGCTTCGATTTCAGATGTAAAGGGGCCAATAAATTGATAAATTATCCCAACGGTATCATGCAACGTGTCTTTACCATTGAAATTTTCAATGAAACGATCGAAATTGTCAAAACTCACATGAGTTCCCAGTCCAGGTGCTGCCACTATGCCAGCAGGTATGAGAGGATCATTTTCATGTGCAAAATATGTCAGCCTAGTCTGTTCAGAATCGTGAGAATTTTCCGACTCCCTGTCAAGGATTTCATTGTTAAACCCAACATCAAATGTTTGCTCGGTTTGACCCTACCGTTCATGACAATGAAAATAAGATCCTGGCATATTGAATCTATCCGAACACTATCATTATCTGAACTTTTTCTACGCACATCTGGTCCTTGCACAAGATGACGAAAGAAATTTTCAAGCATATGAGGGTTCTCGCACTCGCCTTCTTGAATTTTTTCGACCCGAAGATTTTTTGGAAGTTTTTTCTGTTTCAAGTTCAATATTTCACGTCTTATTTTGAACGGTACATCTTCAAACTTCATTTGCTCGGAATTCTCTTCAATGACAGTTTCATCTATTAAATACTCAATATCAATGTGTATTTTATGAACAACTTTTTTATTATTAAGAGAATCAGACGATCGAATAATGACACTATCTCCGAAATGTTGCTCAATTTTTGATTGCAGTTTTGTCGAGCTATAATATTTTACGTCATCCGGACAATATTCTTCGCCACCATACTCAACTAGGAGGCTTTTGTATCGGTTGTTCAAATCGGCTAAGTACATTACTCTATTTGATTCTATTATTTCGCGCCTGATGAATGCCGAAAGTGCTTCGAATGCTATTTTGTGAACGTCTCTTGTCTTGTGCCAAGAAGTTGTGGATTTCGAGTTGTCATTGATTCGTATATATTTCAGTTTATACGCGCTAAAACAGTTTTTGTGGTAGTAAATAACGTCAGAAGAAGATATTTTTGAAATGTGTTGAACATCGTTTAATGTAGTTGCAATTTGGAGCAACTTGTTTTTAATATCGGACGATTCACAAACAAAAGGATAAAATCTGCTCGAACCTATTTTTTTTTTTCACGTTTAGAACAAAACAAGCACACATGTTCTACCTCTTTAACCCCACTGGTGCTTAATGGCAAGTTGGTCCCTGGATGTTTCGAGTGGAATGATGTACCTGCTTGGTAACCGGATCTTGATGGAATGGATTCGTGACCCGATGTTGAAAGAACGGAGTCGTCACCTGATGTTGACAAAATGGAATCTTGACCTGATGTACATGCGACAGATTCGTCCGAAGTTGTTGATGCTTTAACGGGTTTAGGTGTTGATGTTTTCATAGAATTCTGTAATACATAAACGACACGTATATTATACCTATATTATTAATTTAGTGCAGGAGGCGGCGTCGAAAATATGCAAGAGTTTTCTGAAGGCTAATATTTTCAAAATAGGTCGTACTTTAGTGATAGAATGCTTGTGTACAGCACTTACAGTTTCGGGACAGCTGGCGCTAGGACGCACACGAGGTAGTAATTTTAAGGAACAATTATATGTGACCTTCAAATAGATAATGTACAAAATTTCTATAAATTTTGAGAAAACAGTTTAGATGTTTCTTAATATCCCAATTTTGCGCGCGGCCCAGCGCCAGCTGACCCGGAACTGTGAGTGCTTACTATACACTAGCTTTCTATCACTAAAGTACGACCTATTTTGAAAATATCATCAACTCTTGCATGAGGAATGGAAATAATATTCAGCTTTCTTGGACTTATTTATTAAATTTAAAAATCAAATAGCCAACGTTTCGATGCTGGTTAGCATCATCATCAGGGCTGCAAAAAACGAAACAATACAAGTTTAACAAGAAAAAAGGACATTGACATCAAAAATAAAAAATTAAAAAATAAAAAAAAAAAATTAAAAAAATTATTGTTTAACTAATTAGGGCTATGTGACGCAAAAGGCGATTTTATGACATACAACACATTAAAACAAGCTAAAAATGATCACATCATCCTACAAAAATTAATTAAAATCACTAAAAGATATCACAAAGACACAATCATTATCCTAAAAACGTTAACACTTAAAATAATATCTTTAATTAAAGCTCAAAAAGACTCACCCAGATTATTCTAATTGAAAATCAAACACATTGTATAACTGCATACGTTAAAAATGTTTGTATTATTATGGACTACCATCATTGCCGCAAAAATCTAAGGTACTGATTTGATGTTAATTTTCTAGGTGTGGTATGAATTTTTTTGGTAGTGTAGGTATACCTATGTTTATTATGTGTTTTTTGAACAATTACTTATTATATTATTATAAATAATATTGAGATTCTGTGTGTCTCTATTTAAATTTACATTCGGCCTGTTGTTATGGATATGACACATTTCAAGAAAAAGTCTCTTTTTAAAATTCACCTCGCAGTCCAATATTTGTACTTCTTGAAATTTAAATAAATGTCCTTCTTCAAAATGATGCTGAGCCAGTCCCGTCTTTGGGTTATCCGAATTGGTTATGTTACAATCTCTGCGGTGTTCGCCTATTCTGTTTTTTAAAAACTGTTTGGTTTGACCTATGTAACAGTGGTCGCAAGCACCACAGGGGATCTTGTAGATAACGTTGCTTTTAAAATCGCTTTTTGTTTCATCTTTTACTCGAGAAAAAAGGTGTCTCACGCATTTTGTGTTGTACTGTGCGATTTCTGAGTTTGGCGTCTTAAGTTTCCTCTTGAGGGGTTCTGTCAAACCCTGCACGTAAGGCATTTTGAAGAATTTTTTATTATTGACCAAGTTGACTGCATTTGCATTGGCGTTATTAGAGGGTCGTTGGTTTAAAATCCTATTGATTAGAGCTTTTGGGTAGTCATTAGAAAGTAAAATTTTACGAAGTTTTATGAGATTTTGCTCCCAAAACATTTCAGTTGAAAGTCTGTAAATTTTGTCTCTAAATTGTTTTATAATATTGAATTTTTGTTGTGTTGGATGGTTTGAACGGTAATTTAGAATTCTGTTGGAGCTGCTAGGTTTTTTGTATAAATCCAATAAAATATTTTGTCTTTGATTTATTATATGTAGGTCTAGAAATGGCAATTTTTTGTCGTTCTCTATCTCAACTGTAAACTGGAGGTTGACTCACTTGAACTCTGTCGATGAGAACCTCCAGTTTACAGTTGAGATAGAGAACGACAAAAAATTGCCATTTCTAGACCTACATATAATAAATCAAAGACAAAATATTTTATTGGATTTATACAAAAAACCTAGCAGCTCCAACAGAATTCTAAATTACCGTTCAAACCATCCAACACAACAAAAATTCAATATTATAAAACAATTTAGAGACAAAATTTACAGACTTTCAACTGAAATGTTTTGGGAGCAAAATCTCATAAAACTTCGTAAAATTTTACTTTCTAATGACTACCCAAAAGCTCTAATCAATAGGATTTTAAACCAACGACCCTCTAATAACGCCAATGCAAATGCAGTCAACTTGGTCAATAATAAAAAATTCTTCAAAATGCCTTACGTGCAGGGTTTGACAGAACCCCTCAAGAGGAAACTTAAGACGCCAAACTCAGAAATCGCACAGTACAACACAAAATGCGTGAGACACCTTTTTTCTCGAGTAAAAGATGAAACAAAAAGCGATTTTAAAAGCAACGTTATCTACAAGATCCCCTGTGGTGCTTGCGACCACTGTTACATAGGTCAAACCAAACAGTTTTTAAAAAACAGAATAGGCGAACACCGCAGAGATTGTAACATAACCAATTCGGATAACCCAAAGACGGGACTGGCTCAGCATCATTTTGAAGAAGGACATTTATTTAAATTTCAAGAAGTACAAATATTGGACTGCGAGGTGAATTTTAAAAAGAGACTTTTTCTTGAAATGTGTCATATCCATAACAACAGGCCGAATGTAAATTTAAATAGAGACACACAGAATCTCAATATTATTTATAATAATATAATAAGTAATTGTTCAAAAAACACATAATAAACATAGGTATACCTACACTACCAAAAAAATTCATACCACACCTAGAAAATTAACATCAAATCAGTACCTTAGATTTTTGCGGCAATGATGGTAGTCCATAATAATACAAACATTTTTAACGTATGCAGTTATACAATGTGTTTGATTTTCAATTAGAATAATCTGGGTGAGTCTTTTTGAGCTTTAATTAAAGATATTATTTTAAGTGTTAACGTTTTTAGGATAATGATTGTGTCTTTGTGATATCTTTTAGTGATTTTAATTAATTTTTGTATGATGATGTGATCATTTTTAGCTTGTTTTAATGTGTTGTATGTCATAAAATCGCCTTTTGCGTCACATAGCCCTAATTAGTTAAACAATAATTTTTTTAATTTTTTTTTTTTTTAATTTTTTAATTTTTTATTTTTGATGTCAATGTCCTTTTTTCTTGTTAAACTTGTATTGTTTCGTTTTTTGCAGCCCTGATGATGATGCTAACCAGCATCGAAACGTTGGCTATTTGATTTTTAAATTTAATAAATAAGTCCAAGAAAGCTGAATATTATTTCCATTCCTCATAACCATATTCGTGGACGTGATACTTTTCCGACTGAAACTCTTGCATGTTTTCGACACCACCTCCCCAACTGTTAACACAATCGACTTGATTTTGAGCTTGTGAAATTTAAATTGGAAGTTGAGTCAATCGAATAAAAAAAAATGAATTTTAGTGTAAAAAATTCTAGTGTATAAAAACAAATTTTTCGCTCAAAATAAGCCATAAAATTTTAACCATTGTGAAGGTTGTACCATTTTTATTTTTTCGGCATCGAGCGTGTCTAAAGTGGTAACATCGGCAGACGTTTTTTCGTTATCGTGTTGAGCATTTTTGCGTCCTGCGGTTTCGGGAATCTGGTCCGGAATCAATTGAGCATCATCAACAGAAGCATTCAACGTTTCTGGCTGCAAACGTACAGCATTTTCTGTTGAAAGTTTCTCATACTCTTCTCTTTGCTTTGCTTTCACAATTCGAATTTTTCTAAAACAGGTCTCGTGATATCCGATATTGTCTGGCGATTCTTGCGCAAGTTGTACATCTCCGTACAAATAATTCTTCAGTTTTCGATACTTGATGATGTTTATGCATTTTTTCTTCAGTCCATCCGAACCCGAAAACTTCTTGACTTCGGTGTCACTTTTATCACATACGAAACACTTATTCATTTTCATCAACAAAATTATTGAGCACAAGAGCGTAGTAATTTCACCCAGCACTTACGGTTTAGGAAGTAAAACTTAAATTAGACTATCCGCAGGATAATGTCAAACTAAAATCAATATGGCTCAAAGAGGTAATACTACGAAAACTTCAGGAGGTATAAAAAAGACACAGAACGCTCATTGCGAAAACGTACCAAATTATGTTGGACTATAGCAATCTGTCCTTCTTATTTTCACAGGATAAAAGAGGAAGGAGAAAAACCGTGTGTTGTGCAAAGTATTTGTCAATAAAAATTTCAAAAAACTTTCGAATGTCACTTGTCAAGCTATGTGAAGTTGAATATTAACCATACTTTTATTCTTGTCAGACCAGAGGCAATGAACAAGGACAAAGAGATGCCCAGCGTGCAAAACGAATACCTCACACCCGTAATAGTTAGCCAATAAAAAGGCATTGCCTCGTGTTGCGCGCGCATACCAGGTAAAAATAGATAGGTCTATTGTGAATTATTTGCGTTATTCAAAATTGTTGTTTTTATTAATGTAGA